ATATAAATTTATATATATATTATAAATATATATGTATATATATAGCGTGTCAAGGAACGTGAGAGAGTGATTTCGATCAAGCCCCCAGAATAGTTGATGTGAAGCTATCGCAGCATATGGAATCCCCCTCAGAGCATTTATACACACTCTCTAGTGCACATACAACATGTACACTCTCAACAGAAAATCAGCACAACTCGAGCACTCTTTGGTGTATCAAAACAAAACGTAAAGTTCAAGCCGTAAATGGGCCAGTAAGCGAGTGCATGTAGTCGAAAAAAAAAGGATCAATTTGTGCTGCATTTCTATATGTATAATCTTTTGTTATGTAGTCAGAACGCTTGTACACACAAGAAACACACGCTCAGCAAACGTCACATGTTGCATCACGTGGCGGTGATCGAGTACACGACTCCCCAAAACCAAAACTATGCAGTAAACGTGCCATTCAGGACAAACCCCCCTCCCCCAAAAGAAAACGAGACAAAACATGGCCCAAAACCCCACTGCAAAACAAGAAAACAGGACAAAACATGGCCTAAAACCCCATTGCAAAACAAGAAAATAGGACAAAACATGGCCTAAAAGCCCCTGTCTACGCACCTGCTGCCTGATGGCCTAGGCGAAACATCGGCGTCAACAGCTAAGGATTCTAAAGGCGGCATCGATTGATCTGTGCTTGTGTTGTGTACAAACTCGGTGGAATCTTCCTGCATACACAAGGAGCCGAACATCGGTGGTGAGGTGTGGATCATAAATGTTATGAATTACACTCAGCACAAGGACTGAAGCTTAAGGCACACCGTGTAAACGATGAGTACATTGTGTTCCGGTGAGTGAGAATGTATGTATGTATGTATGTATGTGTGTGTGTGTGTGTGTATGTGTGTATGTATATATATATATATATATATGTGTGTGTCTGTGTGTATGTGTGTGTATGTGTGTGCATGTGTGTGTGTATGTGAGTGAGTGAGTGCTTTCTGCTGATAGAGCGATCAGCATAAGCATAGTGGAACCAACCGACCAGTGTGAACAGTGGACCGACTGGGCACTTGGCAGTAGGAGATGCGATGGAAGCAGAGGACTTGGCTAGCCACACACTGCCACAACACAAAACACATCTGAAGACCGTCTAGCCACACACTGCCACAACACAAAACACATCTGAAGACCGTCTAGCCACACACTGCCACAACACAAAACACATCTGAAGACCGTCTAGCCACACACTGCCACAACACAAAACACATCTGAAGACCGTCTAGCCACACACTACCACAACACAAAACACATCTGAGGACCGTCTAACTACACACTGCCACAACACAAAACACATCTGAAGACCGTCTAGCCACACACTGCCACAACACAAAACACATCTGAAGACCGTCCGGCTGCTGTTTGCCGCCTTGAAAACGACTGGAAAGAGAGAGAGAGAGAGCGCGCGTACCTGCGTGACTATAAACGATGTCGCTGACGCCGTATCCGTAAGTTTTGCCGCCGACGACGCCGTGTCCAAGTTCTTTGGCGTCGGATTTGGCGTAGTTGTCGAATTCGTGGCATTGAGTTGATTCGGCTGAATTAGGGGACTGTGTCGCCGGTCTGGGTGCGCAGGCACGCGGATGTCTGGGTCTATATGGAGGCGTTCCGATCTGTCGTTGGACAAGCTGGAAAAACTGCCAAGAAAATACAGGTTGGATATACATGATACTTGGCTGAGAACGAACCAGGTGGCGATAGTTTTCAATAGCAAGACATCTTGATTTTGATTATGGTTATGGACGGTGTGATGATTACAGCACCCATCGCCTTGGTATGACACCAATCAGTGCAGTAGTCAATCAGCGCAGTCAGTTGGTAGGGATTACACCTGAGCCGTAGCAGTTCACACACGCTATATATAGCATAGCACAGAGCTGCCCGTGCAGGACGTAGAGCTTAACCATATGACACCAATCAGTGCAGTAGTCAATCAGCGCAATAGTCAATCAGCGCAGTCAGTTGGTAGGGATTACACCTGAGCCGTAACAGTACACACACGCTATATATAGCATAGCACAAAGCTGCCCGTGCAGGACGTAGAGCTTAACCATACACAGAAGGATTGGATCTGAAGTCTCAATTCTCATAAAATAGTTACGATCCGATTTGGGGGTTTCCGAGCCAGTACCAAACCTTGGAACTGCTTTAACCAGTGCACTATAGTAACAGAACTGACAATTCAATACACCAGTGAACGGTCAGCAGCGTGCGCCCGAGGGATCTGTCTACCCCGCTACACATAGAACTAAATAAATTCTAATTAGCATAACGGCACATTCTAGTCAAATCCTGTGTGTAGCTCGGATGAGACTCACAGATAGCAGGCTAGGCGTCTACCTCGTAAGAACCATTCCGGATACTATCCAGATCGACTAAAATTCTATGATGTTGTGCCTATACGATTGCGATGGCATATATGTAAACATATCCATGCATCAAAATATCGAATACAGTAGTAAAAATTTGGTCCCACACCCACCTCGCACACGATAGATGATAAATAAAGTAAATTCCAAAAATAGCCAAAGCTAATTTGAGCACCAAATTCCGAATACCTATGTGTGGCCCGCATCGGCTTCGGAGCCGGCAGACTCAGATTCGGTTCGGTACTTTTGCGGGATGGCTGGGTTGACGGTGACATCGCATCGTGAGATCGACGAGACGGTGTGCGAGGGCCAAAGGGTGATCCAGCATCAGACCCACGACCACTGCGAGTGAGGGCATAAAAGGTGTTATATAATTATTAATATTACTATTAATATTAATTTATATATATATATATATATATGATATTTATTTAGTATAAAATAGGATTTAAGTAGAGATACGTTTATGTGCTTTGAGACTGGACTAGAATTCTGCATGCCGGTAATATCGGTGGACGAAGAATTCTAAGTAAGAAAATACACCGATTGCCGTGAGTACCGATGGGTAACTTATCTCGCGAGTCACAACTAATAACTTCAAACCCACTACTGCCCAACGACTGACAGGAATCCTTAACAGTAAATATTCGACATAGAGTTTAAGTCTCTTCGAATACTATTAGAGAACGATAGGGTCACTAGCTGAGCATAAAGACGTGTTCTTGTGCTTGTAGCAAACACCAGTAGGAGGAGCTCTATACTGACATACACACCATATTGACCGAGAGTGAAACCACCCAGATAGATTCTTATGTATATGCATTCAAACCTGTCTATGCTTATGCATATGCAAATGTAAATTTATACTATACTTGTTGGGAGAAGTATATATGTATGTGATACCACGTGTATCCGTGTATGCAAGCGTACATGCACTCCCATATGACATACGTAGAATCATATTGTCCACACAAACACACACACACACACGCACACGCACACGCACACACACACACACATATATATATATATATGCATATCTGTATTATTCTGTATATATACCCCTGAGAAATCAGCCACATACTCTTGATGCCCGTATTTCCCGAATTGTTGGATCAGGAAGAGTTTACCAGCGTTGTCGCGGCCCTCGTTCATGCCCCACCACGCGTAGTGGTCTCTGATACCTAGAGCGTAATATTGAAGAATACAGGCGCGAGGTGAGCATAATGGAGGTAGCGCAAAAGAGGTATGGATAAACATAAAATTTCATGGGCATTATGAACTTCTTGGTAAACAATTTTGTTTTTGACCTCCCCCCTTTTAGATAATAGCTACCAGAGCATTCAAGGGACTAGGATTTGCTCATATATTCTACTATAAAGCTTGATCTATAGCCTCGTTTCCAGTGTGCCCTTCCTATTTTACCAGAGTAGGTAGGTACATAAGGGCTAGATATAGTGGGTCGAGATAAGTGAGCAACCGTTGCGCTGCACGGTTTACATACAGTGAGGCCATCACTGTAAAGTAATCCATGGGTGTGAGCGACCCAACCTCGCATGTTAGGATATCTGCCTACCTGCCTTAATGGGTAGGAGCGTTTGTATATATGAATATATGATGTATGCATATATGTATACAAATAGTACATATTCAATATATATATATATACACACACACACATATATATATATATACACACACACACATATATATATATACATACATATACATACATACATACATACATACATACATAC